CCTGATTAATAAAGATGCCTTCGGGTCCCTGTCTTATGTTTAAACCAAGGAAAAAGTTAATAGGACCCATTGAGCTCATTTCAAACTTAGTCTCCATCAGCTTTCTGAAATTCAGCCGTTAAGCTTGGATTTGTGGAGCAAAGATGATATCATCGACATAAATTTGAACTATCATAAGGTGGTTACCTTCCTTTTTGCGAAAGAAGGTTGGGTCAACCGAACCTTGTTTGAATTTAGACATCTTAAAATTTTGTAAGCGTTCATACCAGGCTCTCGGAGCTTGTTTAAGGCCGTACACAAGCTTTATCCAGAATATAGCAATGATTTGGATGCTTTTCGTTCACGAATCCAGGAGGTTGCTCTACGTACACCGTCTCTTCAAGTTCTCCATTGAGAAATGCACACTTGACGTCCATTTGGAAAACTTCAAAGTTCTTGTGAGCAGCATAAGCTAGGAATATTCTAACAGATTCTAGCCGAGCTACTGGAGCGAAAGTCTCTTCGTAGTCTATCCCTTCCTCTTGACAATATCCCTTGACCACCAACGAGCCTTGTTCCGTATAACATTACCTTCCTTGTCCATTTTGTTCCTAAAGACCCATTTGAGACCAACAACCGAAGCATCTGGAGGAGTTGGAATTAGGCGCCAGACTTTGTTTCTTTCAAATTCGTTCAACTCGTCTTGCATTGCTTGAACCCAATCAGAGTGGTCGAGAGCAGTGTTAACTGTCTTTGGTTCAACTTTTGATACGAATGAATTGAACATGCAAAACTCTACCTTTGAAAATAAGGAAGTCTGTTTTGCCTTCAGTTGTGATCGGGTCAGAACCTTTTCAGATACATCCCCAACTACTTGAGAGACAGGATGATCTCTGGTCCATTTGATAAGAGGAGGGTAATTTGGATCAACGGTTGGGTCTAAAATCGGCATTGATTATTTCTTCTAGTTCAGATTGGCTGTCATAACCGAGTGTCACATCGTCATGTTCTACCTCAGTTGGTGTACTTTGGAAGATATGAGGTTCGTGTGATTCTAGTGGACCTGAGCTTGCTGGTGTTGAGACCTCTTCGGTTGAAGTTGTGGAATTTGGCTCCCCCTGGACTTGAGCATTTGGCTCCCCCTCGATTTGAGTACATGGCTCCCCCTCGACTTGAGCTTCGTTGGAAGGAGAGTCGTTACTGATTGATTCTTCTCCATACATTCTCCTTGCAGCATCTTCAACAATCTGCTCCATATGATCAACTTTGTTATCTGCTGCACCAGCTTCAGAGAGTGAAGCATTCTCTGGTTCGTCAAAGAGCTCCAGAAATGTCTCAAATAGATTAGCGACCGAGACTGTAGTCATGCCATTTAGAGGAAAGATTTCCCCAGTGATATTTTCTTTAGCCTGTAGCTTCTTGACATAGTAGTCGTCAAAGGTCACATAATACGTCTCTTCAATTTTTCTTGAACGCTTATTTAGGACCCTGTATGCCTTGGATGTGAGAGAGTAACCCAGGAAAATTCCTTCGTCGGCTTTGACATCAAACTTGTTGCGGTGTTCTTTGGAGTTGAAGATGAAACACCTTGAGCCGAACACATGAAAAATTTCACATTTGGCTTCCTGTTGTTCAATATCTCATATGGGGTGAGTGCGAACCTTTTGTTGAGATATGACCTGTTCTGTGTAAAACAAGCAGCGCAAATAGCATCAGCCCAAAAATAAAGAGGTAAAGAAGCAAAACTTAGCATAGTTCGGGCAGCTTCACACAAGGATCGGTTTCGTCTTTCGACTATTCCGTTCTGTTGTGGTGTGTAGGGAGCTGAGAAATTATGACTAATTCCCTTCTCTGCAAGAAACTCTTCAAACTCCCTGTTCTTGAATTCGAGACCATTGTCGCTTCGGATGTTGCGGACAACCTTTTTGAGCTGTACTTCAATTTGCGTAATAAACGTTTTCAGCTTTTGAGTCGCTTCAGATTTGAGCTTTAGAAAGAACACCCATGTAAATCGAGAAAAGTCATCAACGATAACAAGAATATACTTGCTACCACCGATGCTTTCGATAGATGAAGGACCACACAAATCAATATGAATTAATTCGAGTGGTTCAACAACTTTTGTATTGATAATAGATGGATGACTTTGACGACTCTGCTTTCCCATTTCGCATGCAGCACATAGATGATCCCTGTCGAACTTGAGTAATGGAAGTCCCCTTACATGACCCCCTGTAACAAGACGATTGATATCTTTGAAGTTAAGATGAGATAATCTTCGGTGCCACAACCAGCTTTCATTGGATTGCGCTTTTGACAATAAGCATAACTGGATTTCCTTTGATGGGTTTCATGTTTAAGGGAAACATTTCACCCTTTCGCTCTGACTTGAGAATTATTTTATTTGACTTTTTCTCTATAACCTCTGAACCTTCATCATCGAATGAGACTTTGAGACCTGTACCTCCAACCAGTTGAGATACACTAATGAGGTTGTGTTGGAGTCCTTCCACATATGCCACCTTCCTTATTGAGAAATCCCCATTGGTTATCATTCCGTATCCCTTTATGGTGCCGAAAGAATTGTTTCCGAACTTGACGTTGCCACCATTTGCAAGCGATCTGTACTCCCTAAGCTCTTCTTTCCTTCCTGTCATGTGACGTGAGCAGCCACTATCAATGTACCATTCTTCGTCGAACTGCTCGTCACTTATAATCTGCAAAATTTAGAGAGATTTAGGAACCCAAAGTTTCTTGGGTCCACGTGAGCTTTGCATGAAAACAGGAGCAATAATAGAGATATCAACAAGATAAGTTCTTTTTACTAGAGTTGCTTTATCTTTCCTTTTAATGGTGTACACTTTTATTTTGTTAAGATTAGTTGAGTTAGATTCGGTCTTTGATGTGGATTTATCGACTTTCTGCTTCCACTTTTGCTCAGTTGATGAATGAGATTTAGAACGAGATTGATATGAAACTGAGTATGAAGAAGAATTGGAAGAATGAAAAGAATCAGACTTAGAAGGAGACTTTAGGTGACCCTTTTGTTTTTGATCATTGGAGGGACCGACCTTAGAGTTTTGAACTCTTTTGTCTTCAGAACCGAACCTTTGTGTTTGGTTCGAGCCACTTTTGGAACAGAACCTTTGGTTCTGGTTGATATCCTTTTCAGAACCGAACTTCTGCTTTCGGTTGTTGTCCTTTTGTGAACCGAACCTCGGCTTTCGTTTTTGTCCTTTTGTGAACCGAACCTCGGCTTTCGGTTTTTGGGACTTTCAAGCTTTTCTTCAGGAATGTCTTCATACTTTAGATTCTTGTCTTGATGAGTGAAGTATGCATTCTGGGAACGCCAAAATTGTTTCCTTTCCAAAAGGTTCTTCCGGTATCTGATGTTCCTTTCTATCTTCCTGTTCCGCATCTGAGATGGTTGATGATGAACATTTGCTTTTTTTTTTGCTGACCCCTTGATCGGTTCCATTTGAACTGCGGTGGAATTACTTTGAGCTGAAGAAGCCGAAGGAATGGTTTCTGTTGGTGAGTGAACATCCTTCTGAGGAGTATCTTTTGTACCACTAGTGCTCGGCTCACTGAAGTTGTTTGGCTTATTCAAAGGTTCGGGTATATATCTTCCTTTGCTCTTCCATGAAGTTCGTTCAGATAAACCAATGGTTTCGTCTGCATTATCAATAGGAGCTTCCCAGAAGTATTCATCACAGCCATCAGCATTGTCTTTGTCTACAATGGCTGCAAGTTCGGCTGTTTGATGTTCAGTTACTCCTGTTACCTTGTATACTTGATTTGGAGTAGTCCTGACCTTTTGATACACAACAGCTTTCTCAACTAATTTTGGGGACTTTTGATGGGACAACCGAGCGAACTCTACCGAATTTTCAGAAATAAGATTCTTGTGATTTTCTGGCTCGGTTTTAATAAATTCTGAGCAATCAACCGTGTCCTCTACAGAAATTTCACTCATATTGTCATCCTCATCAAGCTCAGATGCATTTTCAACATCAATTTTGTTTTCTGAGCTTACTTTGGTGTTTAAAGAGTCAAATTTTTGCATGGTTTCGGTCCTCAGTTTAAGTCTGTCATTTTCATCCAAAAGATTTTTAAGCATGAGCTTGTGGTCTTTAGATTTAATGAAGGACTCAATTTTGTCCAGTCCATACATGTAGGTGGGATTTATGTTATCAGATGATATCACACTTTCACAGTTATAGCTTCGGCATCGATTTCATCTTCCTTAAATTCCAGGAAGGGCAAAATCATGCGGTGAATTCTTTGGCCTATTTCACAATCCAAGTGGAGCTGAGTAATATTAGAATACAGACGTTTAGCAATTAAACAAAAAACATTTCGTTGTTTTAACAATTTCAAATTGTCTCTTTGCAAATAAATGTTTTCATCTTTAACTCTGACTAATTCCGATTCCTTTAACTCTATCCACATTCTCCGCTCCTCACTCTTCGACGCTGCCCTGCTCAATTGATCAGTTAGGTTAGAATTTGTGACCCGAGTTTGAGTTAAGCTACTATCTAGATGAGATATTCTTGTATTAACACCTTTTAGTTCTTTCTCATAAGAGGATGATGGTATTTTACATGAAACAAAAACAGATTGTACCTTCTTTATCAGTTCATCAAGCTCATTGAACTGCTGGCTGAGTGGTTTGGCTGTGAAGCACATATCCTCTTTTGCATTCTGTCCATCATTGCTTCCATCGGTGTTGTATTCCCTCAATTGAGATACGTCAGAAACCATAAGGCATTTACCACCACTGCCTTCTTCCTTAGACACGAACGCCTTTCCATGAGT